TCCCTCAACTATGGCAACAAGAAGTTACATGACAACCCTGGCTACATAGCGACCCACACCGACGTCAGCCGTCAGATCCAGGGATGCGGCGACTGCGTGAGCAACGCCGAAGCCCTGCACAAGGCTGGACCCCTTCAGTCGTGATCATCGTCCACATCTCGTTCGCAACAAAAAAACCCTCATCCTAAAGCCCGAAGCCCCATGCAGCATGCAGGCCCCTAAAGCCTAAACCCTTGAGCCCTGACTACCACTGCAGTCTGATCCTTTGTCCAAAGACTTCGTGTGCAGAATTCAGCCGGTCCGGATCTGGGCCTATAGGGCCTCATGTCTTGCAGCATACCTGGCTTCTTCCATTTCGGACAGCCTGAAGCGTGCAACGACACGTCTGCACACTGTACAATTCCTGGTGATCAGCAGTCCGCAGATGGCAGATGAAGATTGCTCGTGCCACGACCTCGACTTCCAAGCAGCTGGAAGAGACTGAAGAGACACCGGGCGCCCGTAAACGCAAGGCCTAGGAAATCCTGGAACCCTGGAAGTAGCCTTCTGGCAGAAAAAAACAATCACCTGCCACATGGCCACGACAACGCAAGGAGCTGAACCAAACGCAACAAAAACAACCTTCAAATCACAAAGTGCACATCGACGCTTTCAACATTGTCGTTTTTAGGCAGTCACCTTATCGCTGCCTATAGACTAGTTCTTTTTCGTTTGCCTGTGGCCCATACAGCCCATACAATACATATAACACATATAAACAAAGAAATCACATAGTAGACAACCCATGTGTAATTATACCATAATATATTGTACTATATGACAGTACACTACACATTACATTATACCATATATCACTACTGAACGTATGCCGCCAATGGGTCTCCCACACCGCCCGCCCATTCAAGCGCAAGTTATGCTATACTTCTGAGCTATTCCAACTATTTAAACGCGGGGCCACAGTATAATTACCTCTTCTGGAATATTGGGGAGGGGGGGGGGGTGAGGGTGGGGTCCGTGAGCAAAACTACGCCAGCTGCTGCCAAGTCGACTGAAGAAGCTCCAGGGCTGGGCGGCGCACGCAAACCGAACCCTTGATTTTCACGGTGGACAAGGGCCGCTTGCTGGTGTGCTGAGCATCCGAGCTGGTAAGCACGGCACCGGACTCATGGCTGCTGGCTCGCTGCCAATGCCTATAGCCTGACAATCTGGCAAGCAAGAGTCAACCGTGCCTCACAGCCGTCTTGACTGAAGGGGAGGGGGAAGGGCGGGGAAAATGGGTGAGGCAGCGTGGGGGATGCCAGAGGAGCGCTCGTCTGGGCTTTCGTCTGCATTTCTTTCGCCGCACCATCAAGAGGCACTCAAAGCGAGGCGGTGTCTGGACGACAGGTCAGCAAGGGGCGCACACTTAGAACCTTGCCTCACAAGTAGCAGGACTTGCGCAGTCGACCTTCCATACCTTCGGAACAGCTGCAGTTTAGAAGCGCCGCCGGGTAACCCCGAGCATTGGGACATATCGATGCGCGTTTGTTTTGCGCTCGATGTGCCGCCTGTCGGTGTGCGACAAAGGGTATGAAACAGGAGGCCGCATATTTTGGCAATCAGCTGGCTCACTTGAAAGTCCGCCTCAGCCACAGCTGGAAAACTGGAAAGGAAAGGAACTGCGTGGGCTTGGATCCGCTGTGCTGGCGAAGGAAGCACTGCAGTAGGCCACAAACCCCCGAAGATGCTTTGCAAGAACATCGGAACATCTCGCTGGGCGGGTTACGGGTTGCAGCTACTAAGACGCGACGACCAAACTGCAACATTACCAGCCCTCCGTTGTGCAAGCCAGGCTACCTGAGCAGGAATGTTGAGCAGCATTGCGTGTTTCATACAAAAGGCCTCGGGGGAGCACGGTTTGGCAAACTCACGTGCATCGACCTCCTGCCACAGTCCGAAACACAGCGATAGTGGTATCCGATAACGAAGACGCCCGGAGCTCTCTGTCATCCATCAACCCTCCTACACCGACTAGCGGACGGGGTGGGTGTTAGGCAGGTTTTCTGGGCGCGCGAATGCCTCACACTACCCCACACAGCTAGGGTCCACTGTTTTCAGGATACTTGGGAGGGGTGTTAAGGCACAAGTGTGAGAAGGCACAACACTGCCTTGGCGCGCGGCATTATGACGAGGCACTCCATGTGACAAAAGGCACAACACTGAATGTCAAACCCCACGTGCACCCAGGTTCGAGGCAAGCAGTCAGGAATGCGAAGTTTTGCGTGTGCCTGCATGTGCCTGCGGCCTGGGCAGTGGAAGTCCCGCCAATGCCGGTGGGTGGGGTTTCTTTACCAAGTCCCGGGTGATTTGCGGAGGGATGGATTTGATCCGCGGCGACTAGTGCGACCGAGACCCCCTTCCACGAATCTGTCTCAGCAACCGCACCAACCTTCAAATCTGGCCTCCGCATGTCCAGCCTGCACCTCTCAACCCGGCCTCCCAGGGCTCCGAAGGCACCAACTCGCGGACGGCGCAAGCACGCATGACCCTTCACTCCTCCGTTCGTGCATCCAACTTGCTGCGACACAAATTGGCGAACGAGTCAGATAGGAAGGGCACGTGCTTTCGGCGCCCCACAAAAAAGACTCCACAGCCTAAAAACCCCGCAGGGTACTTAAGGCCTCAAGTCATGCCGGAAGTGCTCGGGCGTAAACTGCAGCCCCACAGCAAGCCCTAAGTTGAGTCCCGAGAAGCAGAACATGAACCCTCCAGGGGGGGGGGGGGGGGGGGGGGGGGGGGGAGGGGCGTTAGGCATGCTAATGCCTAGGGAACCCCCGGGTATCTGGCCCCCGTTAGGCAATATCTCCAAGGGGTGACTGTCATTCCCTTGACTTTGCGCGCAAGTGCGCTTTCCGCATCTTATGTCTGCTGAGGTTGCCGCCTTTGTCAACGCGCCAGAAGATGCTTTGCGAGGCACGGGGTAGGCTAAGGGTTGCGGCTACTCAGAGGCGGCGACCTAACTGCAACATCACCAGCGCAAGACAGGCAACCTGCGCAGGAATGTTAGGCAAGATTGCGTGCGTGTTTCATTGGGTCACCGCCAGATTGGGCACCACTGCCGTCCTCTCTTTCTGAACATGTGTGTCAATAGTGCACAGGAGGCTGAAGCCGAGACTGAACACCTATGCCCCGTTCCCCGCTCACCTCCCTGCCCTTCTCTAGCTGTCACCAGCATAACAGAAGCAGATAGGGGGGGTCGGCGGCGATCAGAGTGAGCGCGACCCCGTTCCCTGAGCACACAGGCAACTGGACTGGACGAGACCCACTGGGCAGCTGACGCTGTACAGGGGCTCGCCTGCCAGAAAAAATAGAATTGGACTGGACGAGACCAGCCTAAGGCAGTACACACGCGGGCCCGGTACTGGGGACAGCCCATGTCAGCATCTCTGAAAGGGCCCCCGTCTTGACCAGGCGAGGCGGTTTAGGGTTTGGGGTTTCCGGCTTAGGGTTTAGGGTTTCGGGGTTCAGGGCAACGACGGGAGCGCCAAGCAAACAGGAATATCATGCCCCTTGCTGACCCGTTAACAGGATGGCAATCATTCTAAAGGACGCTTGCGTCCTGTTGGAACCCATGTAGCCCCTTCGATCGTTTCTGACAAACTGCCAGTAGTCCGAACATGAGTAAACGAGGTCTATCTGGGTGGGCTTGGGGTTAAGGTATGTTACGGCGACCAAACGGCGACGACGGAACTACAGCATCAGCCCAGCATCTCGCAAGCAAGGCACAAACGAAACACTAACTAAGAATTGTCTGAGCTCACGAGTCTGCAGTCATCTCACAGCAATGTGCGCTGCAGCCGCAGCTGGACAACTGGAGAGGACGAGAACTGCGGTGGCTTGGAAGTGCTTTGCTGGTCCACATGCATCCCAACGGAGAACCGCCTACGGCAAGGGCCGCCTGCATCAGGCTGGCGCCAGGCACACAACGGCGGCAAAAACACTTCAGAGCTTAGGGTTTCGGGCTGGCATCTGTTGGAATCTGTTGTGACATCTGTTGGACCGGACAAGAACTGGTAGCTAACGCGGCACAAGCCATCTTAGCCCCCCTATCTTACTGCTTGCATGCGGCCTTGACGTCGCCGGTTTGGTGTTGCACCCACTGTCTAAGGCTTCAAGAAGCTCGGAGCGAAAATCAGATCTCGGTTCGAGCACGTGCCAGGCACCCCTTGGCGCCGGCAAGCGCATGAGTGTCTGCCCTTGCTGAACTCCTCGAGAGAACACCTACCCTTCTTCTGAGGGCAGTGCGAAGGCACCCCAGCACCATGGGAACGGGCGAAGACATGACAAGAGGCCACTTGTGGCTCGGTCACGCCGGCCGCTTGACGAAAGCGAGCTCGCGGTCGGAAGACGCAGCGATGCCCGTCAACCGACCCAGCCTCCCTACGCTGGGTAGTCCCAAACGCAGCACAAGTCAGTAGGCCAACCCGTGCCCCCTCTGATATACACTCGCTCACGATCAAGGTCACTACTCCACCGCCAGCTCAGCGCGGCGGCGCAAAATCGCCCGAGCCCCTTACCGCCACGCAGAGTTCCTGCAGGAGCTCGGCATGTGCGACCGCTAAGTGCCTGTCTGAATGCGCAAACTAAGGTTATCGCTTTAGGTGGGGCCCATATCGCTTTCCTTGGTTTACTGATGGCGAACAACTCGTGTCCACCGTAGTGCTGGCTTAGACAAACATAATTTTGGCAGGCGCTCATTTTGAGAACTACCTTCATGAGCATTGAAGCCAACGGTGTTGCAGAGGTGAATGCAGAACCTCTTCGGCATTCGGAAGAAAGGGTGCATGGCGCTCTCCCGGTGCGATGGGATGTTGGACAGCGGTTTCAACTTTGCTGCATGACCGAACCCGAGGATAAGACCCATTGACGGAGCTCTTGAAGGTCGTGTAAGTCCCGCGGGCTGCGAATCATTTCTGAATCCTGTGGGACTCTCGAGACCAAAACCCAGATACCCTGAAGCCATGAAGCCCAAACCCCAGCTAACACCCCCGTTAAGCCCGAAAACGCAAAAGGCACGCAGGCACCAAGCTCTGAAGAAGATAATCCCAACAAAGCCTTCCCACCATGAGGTGTTAGCGGCGATTGTGGCGGGGGTCCTTCAGAGTTGCTACTGCAGGAGGATTAAGCTCTTGAACCCTCAGCCGGATGCGCACAAGGAAGTGCAGGCGCTGCTGCATGTCAGGGCCCTGGTTCCTGCAGGAAGAGCTAGAAGAGTTGGAGCAAGTCGGGTCGATTGGCGGCGCTGCCTGCGAATCCAGACGATGGACAACTTCCTGACGCTGAGGGAGTTCCTTTTCAAGCGCAAGGCCAGGATGGTAAAGGCTCGTGACACGCGGGAACTACGAAGGACTGTCATGCGTCGCAGACAAGACCACCCTAAGTTGAAACAGGAGGGTGGCTGAGGCAGCATGTAAAGGGAAACCCTAGATTAGGAGGACTCCTGTGCGGGAGGACGTCGAACGGAATCAGCAGCGCAGCATTGCGCAAACCAGGCAGACTGGCGCTAGCAAGCAAACACGAATTGTGAGCTTTGGATTCTAAAGGAAGCCTGTCAGGAAAGTGTTAAGACCATCAACTGGGTGGGGCCCGGTGGTCATGGGTTAACGACTTGTCTTCGAAGCTTTTTCGAGCATCTGCACAGCCATCAGGAAGCCTGAAATGCAAACACTTCTGAACGCACTACTCGTAGGCCTTGCAGCTCAGTCCTTTGGACTCTCGCACAGCATCTCCGGCAGTTGCGCAAAGGGGGTTGGGGTTGCAGCTGGTTATAGCACGTTACAGCTCAATGGACAAAGCTGGAAGCCCTGTCTCACTCCCTGATTGCTGGGGGTCGTTAAGAGCCCTTCGTCTAAGGTCCATCTAAGCTCTTAGCGTGTGCTGAAGTCAGTCTCTAAGGCCAGGAGGTTCACCTGTTTGTCCCTGACACTGCAGCACAATCTCTGCACAAGTTCTCATGCACAACGTCTTTGCAGAGACTGCGGGACGCTGTTCGGCGTCTCTCATCCACTCCCAGGATGCAGGATGCGGGTCAAATGTGCTATGGGTGCCCAAGTAAAGTCTGCAGATTTGAAACCGGTTTTGGCAGCAAGCACAGGAAAACTTGGACTAGCCCGCGCAAAGGGTTCTGAAGTTGCGCTACGGGAAAGCAAAGCAGTTCAACGCCGCCCTTGCACGGCTGAGAACATGTGCAGACGCTGGTCCTCTGTGCACACGTGAAGATTCGTGGGATGCGCAGCACCATTTCCAAGCAAGGTTTGGGGGCAAAGTCTCTTCGTGGAAAGCCTCAGAGATCTGTTTGAGTCATGCCTGGGTGAAGAAAGCGCTGGGCTCGAAGATGTGCAGCAGTGCCCTGGCTCCAGCATTGGGACGGGGGGGGTTTTGCCAGGGAGCGGCTGCTTGGGATGCGCGTGCCAGCACTGCGAGCACCCATTGCACCACCAAGCGCGCGGCTGAGCACCCTCCCTGCCCTCGCCGAGCCATCAGCTGCTTGCGACCAAGGGCTACTTAACCCTGAAGCTGCTCACACAACTCAAGTGCTCAACACGGACCATTCGGCACCAAGCAACAGTAGATGTGTTCAGTGTTCTTCAAGGCTTCGCAAGGCTTCGCAAGAGGTCCCACGCTCAGGCTGCCGCGAAAGGCCAGGACAAGCACAACCGCCAGACAGGCTCTATGCGTTCTCAAACCCCAAAGCCCTAAAAGTCTAAGCCCTGAATCCCCGTAAAGGAGACTGTGGGAACCACCGGCAAGGCGGTCATGATCGTCTCAGTTGCACCGACCGCCGCAGGTTGGAGGTAAACGGGGTGACCTGGGCTTTCGGGCTTTGGGATTTAGGGGGCTTACACCCTACACGATATCTACTTGAACCGTACACTTTCCTAGGCCCCTTTATCCTTACATGAATCCTGAACCCTAAGCTTTCCTAACCCTATAAATCTTACAGCCCTGCTCCCCAAAACCTGTTCAAACCCTCCAAGATCTCTTGTTTTAGGGCTTAAAGGGGGGGGTAGGGTGTAGAGGATTTCTGGGGTGTTAAGGTTTAGGGAGCTTTTAGTGTTTGCAGGTTTTGTGGGGTTTGCAGGCTATGTAAGCTTTGTCGGGCTGTTAGGGTTTAGGGTTTAGGGTTTAGGGTTTAGGGTTTAGGGTTTAGGGTTTAGGGTTCAGGGTTTTGGGTTTAGGGTTTAGGGTTTAGGGTTCCACACCCCTGAGCCCCTTGCCCGCACGGTAAAACCCTAACCCGCTATGCCTTGCCGATTCGGTCTCATTCTGAGCGACAGCCTATACTTAACCCCTAACCCCTAACCCCTATAAACCCTAAACCCTAAACCCTAAACGCAGGGCGGCCTTCTGCCCCGGTGCGCCGGATGGCCCTGTAATCTGCAGCACCACGGCCTGCAGTGTAAGGTTTATGTGGGGACGAAAATTTTAGAGTGTCAAGGGTTTAGGGTTTAGGGTTTAGGGTCTAGGGTTTAGGGTTTAAGGTTTAGGGTTTAGGAGGCTCGCCCCCTTACTCTCCAGACTTTAAGCCGCAGCATGCCCACTTCAGATACGTTGGTAGACAGGGGACGAGCGCTTAAAACAACGTGCCAGCCCTTTGTGAGATAGATCTTTGTCTTAGTGTGGGGCTCACTACAGGGAGCCAAGACGCCCGAGATTTCCCAAGGTTCCTCGTCAGATATGGCCTCCTGCAACGCCGTTGCTTGTTAAGGCTGTTCATGGCCCCTGTAAGGGAACTGGCCCGCCCTCTGTCGTCCCTAAACCTAAAACATACAACTTCAAGTGACAACCTTGGTTGGTGCTGCCGCCTCTTGCGGGAAGCTGCCGCTGGGCGAGCTGCCTAGGGTTCAGAGCTTTGGGTGTTTCTGAAAGGTCTTGGAGACCGATAGGCTTCCACAAAGGCACCACGTCTCCCGCGGCAGAACAAATACAGGCAGAGCATGCGGACATGCTTTCGCGCGTTGGGGAGGGGGTCAAGACGAGGTGACATCCCAAGCAGTCCTGGCTGTCTGCTCGTAACTCCTAACCTCATTCAGCTAGAAGGCAACTCTTTCAAAGGCAGCTCCAAACCTAAACCTTCGCTTTCGAACTTATGAGAGGCCCTGCACCTGTAGGTTTCTCCAAAGAGACAAGGGCATTGCTAGTGACCACCTGGGCTTGAAACTATACTCCCCTTAGAACCTTAATAAAATTAAATCCTTAACATCCTCGTGGGCTTTATATAAACAAAAATCTTAATTAAAAAAAAAACGGGGAGATAGCCTAGACTTTGAAACGCACCGTTTCATCCAGGCCACTGACCGGTGTCTCCCCGAAGCGGGCAACCGCCTGGCCCATCTTGCCTCCACGCCGTGCGGCACCGAGTGCTGTTTAGGGTTTAGGGTTTAGGGTTTAGGGTTTAGGGTTCAGGGTTCAGGGTTCAGGGTTCAGGGTTCAGGGTTCAGGGTTCAGGGTTCAGGGTTCAGGGTTCAGGGTTCAGGGTTTGTCAGTCTGGCTTGTCCAGCCTACCTCGGCCTCCCTCCAAACTACGATTCCGTGATTTCGTTTACTTGTGTCTAGAATAAGAGCCACACCTGCAGGCGGAATTGGATTGCGAACTTCACCGGTGAGGCCTGTGAGGCCTCGAGCCCCACCAAACCGTACCAAACCCTATACTTACAAGCCTGAATCTTTGAGACCCCACAAAACCACCACACTTGGAGGCTCATGAGCAGTGCTAGGTAAGGGTTATAAGTAATAAGTAAGGTAGCTATAGTACCTGGTTATAACCTTACTTAGGTTACTTATAACGACCCATGAACCTTCACGTAAGCACTAGGGGCTGCAGGCCCTACTTGAAGGTTCATGGGTATTTACAGGTAGGGCTGCAAGTACCCTACATAGGGTAATAGCCCTTATAACTTTTGTCATCCTGCTCAATAACAACATTTGCAACTACCCATGAGCCGCCAAGTGAATTCCTCGACCCCCTTAAACCCTAAACCCTAACCCCTAACCCCAAACCCTAAACCCTAAACCCCTAAACCCTAAACCCCAAACCCTAAACCCTAAACCCTAAACCCTAAACCCTAAAACCCTAACCCCCTAACCCCCCCCTAAGCCCCGGAGCTGCCTGAGGTGCTTCGCCCCAGCAGGCGCGGGACCTGGGAGCTCGATGCGTCGCGGGCACCCAGGTCCTTGACCCGCAGCTCCCTTCATCAGGAATTCAAAGGGCTGAAGCCATGTGTTTAGGGTTTAGGGTTTAGGGGTTTAGGGTTTAGGGTTTAGGGTTTAGGGTTTAGGGTTTAGGGTTTAGGGTTTAGGGTTTAGGGTTTAGGGTTTAGGGTTTAGGGTTTAGGGTTTAGGGTTTAGGGTGAAGATTCTCTCAGCACATCAGGCGCCCCATACGACCTCTGGGGCCTTGGTGGCCAGCGCTCGCGCCAGCGCGCCGGGATCGGAGACTTGGGCTTCGCAGGGACATGCCTTTGGCCTCCTGGGCCGGTGCCTCTCCTGTCGGTGAGCTTTCTGAGAGCGCAATGGAAGCTGGAGTTTGCACAGATTCGTGCCTAAACTCTTTGGGGGTTTACGAAGAGATGGGACCCCGAAGAAAGTCCCTTAAATAGTCGGATTCCCTTATAGTAAGGACCCCCAAGAAGGTAGCCCTGATTTCGGAAACCCCCACTTGGCTTCTGCACTACGCCACTATACGAAGAGGGCCGGGCAGATTCGCAGGTCCAACGCTGCTGCGCTTGATTCTGGGCTCGTCCTCTGTGTGTGAGGGGGATGGTTCGGACCAGCACTGTTACAATTTCAAGCTTCCCCCCCCCACATGCGAAACGAATTTCGGAACATTTCGGCAAGCACAGCGCATTCCAAGCTCCCAGTCTCTGTGCGTGAGAAGGCAGCATGATAGGTATCCTGTCGGAAACAAGATGAAGATTGAGCCGAGCACAACACACAACATGCTCTGACGCTCACGAAGAGGGATGCATTCTGTTGCGAGTTGCTGAGGTGCTCTTTTGCACAGAGTTGGTTGTGGCCCTTTGTTGAGGAAACCACGAGCGGTCACCCAAATGGAGGTCTTGGAGTCTGAGATGAGAAAGAACCCTGCCTGCTAAGAGTACTTCGGGTGTGGGAAGACATGGGGCATCTCGCGCAAGCCATGGGTTTCCTGAAGTCTTCTGGCTGTTTCAGGGCCACTGCGGCTGGCATCCGGTCCGCAGGCGCCTGCTGGCTGCCATAGCCGTAGCCTTTGAAGAGGGACCAACACGCCGCGGGCCTCAAGATAACCAAACCCAAAGGCCCCGAGATGCTTCGAGGCAGCGTGGGCCTCCAACGCCAGGACGAAGAACACACGACAGGGGTTTGCCGCGCCGTGGCTATTGCTATGTGTCTCCGGGCAAGATGTGTCTACCAAGTCTGGCCC